AGCCGTCCAGGTCCTGGGAAGATATGTTATTCCACATTGCTGAGAGTATATATGGGTATATTAAGATTGCTAGAAACATTCCAAAAACAAAAGAAATAGTCGTGCGCCACCTTGTGGCGCACGCCGTCCGTTATGGGTTAATATTGTCAGGTTTTCAGGTGGCGCACAGGACGTTTATTTGTGTTTTAGGGGTCTCAATAAAGAAAAATCTGCAATATATTAGAGACCTTCGATAATTACTATCCCAGCAAAGGTCCCACGAACTACCGCAAGTAGCGTAGCGGTCAGATGCGTCGCTTCCTACGCAACTGCACGTCTGATGAGATCCGGTTCCATTCCTGTCCATTAGGCTTTGATTCCATGCAGGATAACTAGTACCAGACTTGTATGGTGAACAAAATATTGGCGCATGCACTGGAAAGTCAGTTAAAAATTATATTACAGATCAAGCGCACTCTTAAATTCCCCAACAATATCTAACAGAAGCTAAATGTACGGCGCGTTTTGAAGAAACCAAGCAGAACCTACATAATGCTCCATCCTTGACTACTTATATTTGGGATAATCGAATAAATCGAAGTTTTGCCTAAAAAATTGAAAGGAATTCAGATTTCTCATTCTCTGAAATTAAGGAAAGGAAATATTTTGTAAGATCAGAATCTACAGACCCTGAGCAAGAATAAATCAAAAACCACGGATTTTTTCTTAAACTTATTTACAAAATATTTTAGAAAAGAGCTTGGGTTTGCAAAAGTTTTACCATTTTGATTGGAGTAATTGGAAACAATGACTGAAACAGTGATTTAATCGAACTTTGAAATGTTTATTGAGAATGGCTCAATTTTTTTTTCAAAAAGCCTTCCATGAGAAAAGTTGTAATTATATTATAAAAATTCATATAAATTTTGGCCATTCAGAGCGTAGAGGACCTGTAAAGCCTCGCTATTGGTTTGTGAGCACTGATCCACTCACATATAAGGGAGGAATTTCTGCTCCATGGACCAGTAGGGCGGCTTTGCAAAGGCACTCGGCGTCGAAGGTTCGACAAAATATAGTACCTATAAACTTTTGCAGTAATTTTGTAATTTTTTATTGAAGGTTTTCTCGTGAAATGTTTTAAGCGATTTCCAATAATCATTTCGGAGTCTAACAATATTTTTAGTGTTGTTTAGAAATTGTGTTAATGTGATAAGGCGTATGGTGTTTTTTTTTGAAAAATAAACCTTTACAACCATCACGGTTACCACTGACTTGAATGAAGTGAAAATGTAGGAAATTCAAAAATAGCTTGATACTTCCAGTCTGATACACGAAAGAGACCAGCACATCCTCTTAAGGACAAGAATGTGCTTGTTTCCGCGAAATCCTAACCATGGCTCTATGTTTGTGGGATCTCGCTATTAAAAAAGCTAGTACTCGAGGGGAACTTGTAAAAGTGCTGCTGAGAACGACGTGAGAACGAATGAACGGAGGAGAAGTTATTTGGCCATTCACTCGTGTATATCGATCGCATTGCGCCAACATTTTTAGCGTTTTCAGGCGAGCGCGAGCTCTCCTGAAAACGCTGAAAATGAAGGAAAAGATATGCTGAATGACAATGCGTTTCATGGGGTGGGGGAAGGGTTTGCCATATTGTTGTGTCATGGGTACGGTAACTCTCACTTGCACTCAGGGTTAAGCGTCACGTTGGACCAATTTCAAAACTGCAAGAATGAAATGAAGAAACCAGTAAAATTTGTAGCGCACACCTACCACAACCAACCCGACCAAAAACCATAATCCGTCCTCAAATCAATCCCCCTCCCTACTGTAACATTAACGCCACATCACGCAAATACACCCCCTCTCTTTTCCACCCCAAACGACGGTTGACCCTGCTTGCACTTGTTCAAAAGGACAAAGGCGAGCATAAAAGCATCATGAGAAGAGATTCTAGCGAAAATGGAACGATAATTCACGTCACGAAAAACGTTCACCCTTACAAAATTGGCTCAACACAAATGTCACCTCATCCTTGCGTTATGAAGCGTGGTCTTCGCCCCTCGCCATCATTCCATGTGAAGCACATCATACCGAGTGGAAATTTTGCACCTCCCGATGTATTAGCCGAACAGCACTCCCATGGGCTGATGTAGACAAAAATTAACGAGGTTTCCAAGAAAATTTTGAACACTTTGAGGAGGTGTTCATCAAACATTTTACTTTTGGAACAGATCTGATAAATTACACTGCTTGATCGATTCAGAAATTTCGTGATTACTATTAGTTAATATATTTTCGAATGCAGCTTTGTCATTCGAACAAATGTAGCAATATGATAAAAATGATATTTAGAAGTTTAATAATGAAATAAATAACAACAACGAATAAACAAAGAAAATATTCGAGCGTCTCAAAATTTCTTGATAACCGTTATAATACAGCTCGAGTGCAAGTGAAAATCTTTACAGGACCGAGATAAACAACCTGACTCATCTGTTGTTCTTGTGTTCAGCGTTCATTCAATTCTGGGGCGAATCACTCTGAGTCAACAAAGGGATCCCCGGGAGTCCTCGAAAAACCTAAGCTTCCTCAAATAAAAAATGGATGAGTATCATGTACTTTCCACGTAATCGTACCTAGTTTCGCCTAAAATGCGGAGCCGTTGTACAAACATTTCAAAGCAAAATTAATTTTGTCATCAGAAAAATGCAAGTAAAACTTCTCCTTTTCATTAAAAGGAGTGGTTACGAGTCGCTTTACACGAAATCTCTTAAAGGCAGTGGTTACGATAATTTTAAGAAGGGTTTAGAGGAGACTGACTCGAAAGCTAAATGGTACGCCATGGCGAAAAAAGCGGAGAAATCCGTCAAAAAACGCGAAACGGGACCCTTTTTTCGGCCGTTTTTTCACTCATGAACAGGTAACAGCTCAGAACGCGACGTATGAACGAGTTCATCGCAACGCGTTTGGTGACAGCATGCCAAATCCACGCTCCAATCAAGTTGCTCAGTTGTGCCGCTGCTGGCAACGCAGCTCGTCCAAATCACCAACTAAACTAGTGGGCGGATCGCTTTTGGGGCGGAGTGCTTTCGAAGTCCTGCTCAGCAACCAGCGCACCTTTCGTCGTGAAAGCGCCACACCTCGCTTCCCTGGCAGCCAAGTAACTGATTCGTAGTGACTTGGCCCGCAAATAACGACGAATAAAATCGATCCCGAATACAGTGCTATGCTCTCTGCGTGCATATTTTTCCCCGATGCTCTTCCTCTTTATCGTAATCGCTGCCTTTAAGACTATCGAGGGCGCAATGTAGCTCGGTGGGGGGGTGGGGGAGCTGTCGCCGTGCGCGGCTCAGTGATGTGGTGTAATCCACCGTACTCACGAATTTCCTGTTGGCCTCGACGCCCCCAACCCCTGAGCCACATTGCCCGCCCTTTCCGAGTAAGTGATAAGCACTGGCGGCACAAGATCCTTATTTTTATTTAGAAATATGGTAGGCAAAGTGTACTTACTGCAAGCGATATCCTGTTGCCAAAAAATTTATGGAAGAACTTCATTGGCGACAGGAATAAAATTTCATTTTCTGAACGACGAATCAGGGGAAGCTCAGCGTCTGAGCTGAACAGATGTGAAGCATTTGTGAGATGAAGCCGACATTTCAGGTGACTCAAAATTCTCACCCATTTCCCACGCAGCCTACGTGTTTTTGCCACCTCCGCCTACCTCACAAAGCTCACATCTATCCGTACGCCCCCCCCCCCCCCGCGCCTCCAGCGAGCGCTTCACACCAACGGTCTACTGCACGTTAATCTCCTTTAAACGCCAGAAAACAGGACAACAAAGGTCCTACATTCGTGGGTTTACCAAGCTTTTTTCGGTTTCTCCACTGTTGCACCTCTCAGCACTCCAAGTTTTAATTTTGACCGTCGACCAATCAACCTACCAACATCTCATGAAAGATAGGCGTCGATTACCCATTATTTGTAAATCTGACCCCAACTAAGCCTGAATGCGTAATCTTGCACTTGACGATGGGTAAACGTTCACGAAATAAAATTTATTTTTAAAAAAGCTCTACAAACAATAAAACGTTTGAAACAGAACTCTAGTTATCATAAGTAATAATCGATTCATGTATTCATTTACTAAGCCACCATACCCACAACTTCAACCGTGTGAGGAAGTCATGAAAGGAATAACACCCATGTTACAAAGATGGTGGGTGTGGCTGCTGATCGCCTCATTGATTCGAACCACTTTTTGGAAGATACGCGACATGTTCTTAAGGGCCAGCTTTCATAAGTCTGCACCGCACGCGGACGGCCGTCCACGGAGCCGCCAACACTGGTGGAAGCAAGCCTACCCCGATAGACAAAGGTCCGGGCTGTGGCCGGAGGCGAATGAACCAGGAGACGCATGTGCCCCGGTGATCCCCATGATAGGTTCGTCCATACCATTCCACTTCAATTGGCCATGACAGACGTAATCCCGGCATTGTTTTACTGAACTTCGAGGAACCTAGCGAATGCCATACCATCCTCCTTAGGCCGATGTCAGACATTGCGAATCGCTAGTAGCGAATCGGTCGATTCGCAAAGTCACATCGGTCTTAGGCTCCATATCTTGCCTCATGAACAGTGAATAGAAGCTTTCCCACCAACAGCTAAATGAAGGACGCGTTACCTATCTCGCATCCCTTAGTCAAATTCGTGACGGAATCTCCATGCTGTGGTGTGGATAGTGAAATGTAAATGTGAAGTAGCAAAGACGATCTGCAGAAAGTAAGCAAAGGGACAGTATGATGAAGTAAGGGGAGAAATGATATCAGAGACTGCAAGAAAACATAAGAAAAGATACCGACGATAATCACAATCACAAAAACTGGGATCACAAAATGCAGTCAACAACTCGATCTATACAGAGAAGGCACAAAAGATTATAGATAAAACAATGGCGAAGAGCGCCATTTGAGAACATATTGTAGTCAAGGCAAGACCGCAACCTCACATTCCAATACATTTCACTGCGATACACTTACAAAACTGTTGGAACCTGATAGATTTTTCCACACTCTTTCAACTTCACCCATAACTCGAAGGCATTTCTCCTCCTCATAGGGGAGCGTGACTACTTGGACAGAAAGCGGTAAGCCTACGCTGTTCATTGAAGCTTCACGCACATACCGCAGAGCGACGTTGTACCCTGGAAAAGTAGAACTTGAACATGGCCCAAAAACATAGGATTCATGAGGAGGACTCAAATCCACCTACCTACAGGAAACTTTGATTCATCAAGAAGATCTTGGTCGTCCTCTGACGTTACTTTTCCTGCAGGAACTGCACCTGCGGGGAAGTCTAACAAATTGTAAAGGCCTGTGTAGGTCGCAGCCGCAGATAACCGTGAAGGGAAGCGGTGTGGAACAGCAGGAACTTGAAATAAACAATTGAATAGGTAAGCCGAGGGCAAGAAAGCAAGTGGTAGCCTACCAGGGAATGTTGGGCATATCAATGCATCTATCCCAAGACTTTTCCAATAATCAATGAACTAAAAGAAAAGCATTTAGTCAACCAAATCGGTTAAAAAGTCATGCAACTAACTATTTACCTGATCCTTGTAAGCATCACAGAGTTCTTGAGTGTAACGTAAATCTTCTAAGTTGGATACATAGGCAGAAGATAAAGCAGCTAGCTGAGGGCTGATCGAATCAAGAATAAATGATGCCACAGACCGCATAACAATGCGGAACCTGAAAAGAGTAATAGAAAACTTCAAATAATTACGAAATACAACCCTAAATATTAATACTAACTTTCAGAAGTGTAACAAATTCCTTTCAAATATGGATCAACTATGTCGTTGTCGTACAGCGAGCGGACATAACGACCACCATCCGGCATCAAGAGCTAAAGGCAGGAAGATTACGGCAAAGAAAAGTGAAAAAAGATCATTGATGACTTCACCTTGTAGAACATCTGCACCATCTCGTCAATATTCGGAATTTTGAAACGAATGAGTTCATGGCCCTCTGCTTTCAAGCGTTCTACAGTATCGAGAAGTGCTCGCTTGACACTAAAAACAATGGAGGTAGATGACTATGATTGAAAATTTGAATTTGATATCGAAAATTTCTGAAACCTTCTTACCATGGTACCACAGGGCAAAATCCATCGTCATCATAGTAGCCAATGCGCAGTTTGTCGGTTTTAATAATTTCCTTGAAACAAACTGGGGCTACTATGAGGAAACTGTGCCGAGGCTAACTAACCTCTTGTTCATTGGGACCAAAATAGAAGTGGGTACGAGTCGAATATACTTAGGATCACCAACAATCAGTCTCAGCAGTTCCACCTGTTCTTCTACTGTGTGAGTGAAAAATCCAAAACTCAACCCAAGCCTTCCGCGGCCAGGGACACCTCCGTGAGTGTGCTTGACGACCAAACGCTCTGGAATTTTTGAGATATTCACTTTTTGTAGCGTGATTGGCAGCTCATCTTTGCATTGTTCCAAAGTCCTAGTATCTTTCAAAAAAAAAATGATGGAGAAGAAGAGTAAACACACCTTGGCTTGGTTTCAATGTTACAAATCCGCAAAAAGCTGCTGGAATACGCAAACTTCCTGCGAGATCACTTCCTATTGCGAAATGGAGTACCACCACCGGCAAACAGTGCACCTTCTCCACCAGAGGAACCTCCAGGTGACCTGAACTTTTCAAAAAATGCGTATATTCTAGTTTTTACGACGCAAACGAAAACCACTAACAGACCTATGCCTCACCTGGTACGTCATGTGGGTTCGAGGTGGTACCATAAACAGAATTAGAGCATACGAATGATAGCAAAGCTTGTGGAACGTTGGTTATAACAAATGGAACCTGAAAAAAAAATCGAATTCACGACGGAACAAAACTGTGGAGACGGTAACTGTTCATAGGTTTGTGTGAGACTCACACCTTCCATATATCATGCTTTTTTTTTTGAAGAAGGGGTGGCGGACGTCCAAAAAAGGTTGAGAAAGGAGCAGAAAGTTTATCTAGACAATGGATTAAACTTACCGCTCCAAGATTGCGTAGATGAGTTACCATGGTGCATTCATCGAGTTTAGGCTGCTCCAAAAAACTTAGCCAAACCAAGAGTACAGTCATACCCAGGCATCTGAAAACACGTCCGCATCAATAGCGTCAATTCGGAGGGTTTTCAAGGACAGGACGGAAGAAATTACTCACATAGAAATTTCCTGCTTTAAACGCTGAAGGGGACCCCATACAATGGCGGTTTCTCTACAGCTCCTGACCACAATTTGTCCATTTCTGCGGCTGTGTCAAACGCCTTCAAACATAGTCAAGAGTAATCCATATTCAAAAAAAATTATTAAGCTGCTTGCTGTTCTGGTATGAGAACCCTCTCTCGATAACTTCAGATACAAACAGTTAAATCTCTCTTGTAACTGCATCGCCTTCCATACATAGGCTTCTAGTGCTTGGGTAGCTGTTAACTCATCCCGCTGCAGGCGATCTAATTACACTATTATGATCCTAAACGAAAAGGAGAGGGCGGAATACAAGAGCTCACCTCTCAATTGCAGTAAGCGGTCCATTGACGGATCTTCACTTATGTGTTTTCCAAGTACCTCATCGCGTGCTATTGCAGACGCTAGTGCTCGGAATCACCATAATCCTTGTAAACGACGTCTTCTCGTTGCCTCTCAATTGTGCCCGACGACAATGTGCTGTGACGCCCTCAGGCTAACATGCAGGTGTCTAAATCTTGAATAAACTTATGTTGAAAGCGATCACAGCACACATAGGTCACAGTCCTAATACGTAGGTGCGGGACTTTCTTGCTCTGTCCGGTCTTGTGCACCGGCAAAATGTGCGCCTGCGCCGGCAGCACGCCCGACAAGTCAGATGGGACTGATGCTGATTTTAAAGGTTCCTCTACTTCTGTGAGCTTAAAAAATTTTCCGCGCGTGGAGATTTCTATGCAGCAGTGAGGCTGATGAGATTTCAGCGCAATCATAAATATGTCACCAGTATCACCAAAGCAAATAGGAAACACTAGATTGAGGAGTTTTTACTGAGATATAGTTATTTAGTTCCAGCTATATATGCTACCTGATCGCGACGCTCATGCCCTTCAAGGGGAACATTCAAAACAGGGCCGATGGTAGATCACACTAGGCTAAGCCCAGGAGAGGGGAGAAGCGCCAGGGAGAACACAAATTGCTCACATTCTTCTCCAAACCCCTCCAACTCCTTGAGGCTTAATTTGATGCACAGTAGTTGGCTCACTCATTTAAATGTCTTCACCCCACCCTCCCTCTCCCGACGACATGAGCGCCCTGATGTCCTTCTCATCTTTTCCAACTGAAGTTTCCTTACCTATTGCTATCCCCAATTCTCCACGCGTTGGAAAGCAATTCAAATCGCAGAACCTTGCGGATTTATCCGCGATCTGCACACGCTTTGACGTGTTGAATTCCACTGCAGAAGCCCGCGAAGACTTGCCTCGTCCGGATCGCCGCGCAATTTGCCGCGTGCCAGCCCGGACGAGCCAAAAGTCCGTCGCCCAATAAGTAGCGCACTGCGCACCTAATTCAAATCTGGTGCGCATTTTGTAGGTGCTCGACACAGAGGAGCTGAAGAAGGACAAATCACCTATTCTTCCTTTATCGGATTCGTGGTTACATACTGCTCTTCTCCTATGAACGAACCACTATATATTAAAGTCGACTGCATTTCCACTGGATTTAATCATTAATTACTACCTCTAAGTGAGGGGAAAGCTCCTCCAGTTGAGCTCATCTCCATCATGTTCAATACAACTGCTCCCTGGTCAATGGTCAGTACTGCCGCTGAGTCTAGCTGAACACACCCCAACTGCGTCAAATAATTCCCCAAAAATGCCAGTGTTTTTACTTGAGGGAGGGGAAGGAGTACTGGTAGTAGCTGGAACAGCAAATCTACGCCACTATTTCATTTTCCCACATGACCCCCAGTAAGTACCCCCATCTGCAACCCCTTCCTCCTAAGGAGGCATGTCCTCCTGCTAGGGGATACTTGAACACCTTTCACCCTGGATGGGGAGAGAGATTCCAAGAGCCTATGAAGAAAACTCATCCTGCACCACCCATTTAAAACCTGTTCAAACTTTCCCGAGTAAACCATAGTTCACCCATCCTAGAGCTGCTTCCCACTGCTTCACCAAAAACTCAACCTTGGTAAATAACAACAACTACCGAAAGAGTAAGGATAAGGGGAAAACATACCCAAAGTCCCTTTTGCCACAATCACTTCACAACACAACACGTAAAAGATCGTAAACAAGAGTGTATACCCATCTCTGCGCACCTTATTATAAAGGAAGCGATAGATGGCCAGCAACACGAAATAGACCCAAATGGACGTGTAAATCACGCGCTGGGCCGTCCATTCTGATAAATGTAGTGCACTCACCAGAATGTTACCCATTGAACAGAGTGAATCAGATGGAATCTCTCGAAATCTGAACAAAAAACCTGATCAGCATAGATGACTTGCAGATGAAAGTCAACTAGATTGGCAGAGCAATGACAATTCTGAAAGATATGATATGTTAAGGCAAATCTCTCAGGAGTTACCTTCTTCACAAAACAAGAACACGAGCCAATAAAAGCCTTTATTCAAAGCACATTACTCAGTTTACAAATCTCAGCATCGAAACAATGCTCACCCACACTGCAGAAGAAAAGGCAAGCGAATGCTTCAAGGGAATGGAGAGAGATCACTGAGTAAGAGGGAGAGAGATCACTGAGTAGCTCTTCATTACCACGTAGAAGGGGCGCTCCTGCTGAGACATGAGGATTCTTGCTGGTTCATGTGCTGAGAGGTTCTTCGTGAAACCGGCATTTTACGTGGATGCCTCTCTCCCATGTTTATCGTTCTTTGAAGTCACATTGCAGCAACGACTTCAAGTAGCAGCATCAAGTGAAGAAGCAATACCACGCAAGTCTTCTTTGCTGCACCCAAGCCTTCGATAGGTGTCTTGCACTGTCGGCATTTTTCGCTGCATCCTGAATAATTTCAGTACAAAATAGAACTTTGAAAAACTCTCTATAAACTGATTATTTGAAATTATGAGCATCACTACTTCCAAATATGCTCCAAAAAACCCGTTCACGCCCATTCAAAGGTCATATAAACCTTGGCATTAATGGATAACGCAAAGGTATTTGAGCTCAACTAACCTCTCAATTCAGACGAAAGGTTGATGTATCCTTCATCTCATCATCCTTCAAATATTCAAAAAGAGCTTCAGATAAGATCCTTCATTAAATATGCTTTACACTGTGTAACAATAATGAATGTTGTTCGCTGATCCAGTGCATTTTTCATCGTTTGATTGAGAACTCTGGAACAATACTAAATAGACAGACAAAACATGACTACATTTTACCATCACTTCTCAGAACAGTTCGAGTGAAAACGTGATGCAAGACTTTATCAGCTGAGTCAGCTGAGGTTGAGCATGAGTGAGTTGAGTCCTATGAGTGCTAGGATTTGCGACGCCCATCTAGATGCCTTTAGTCTAGGATGAATTGTTTTGAATTCTGAAATGGTGTTTGGAGGTTAGGTCGCACTTATCTTTGACTTTCCAGGCTCTGACGAAGGCCGAAACGTTAGCCTAATAAAGTGATTCTAACATCTTGGTCACAGCTGTACAATTATTCGAGATCATATCATAACATGCCAAGATTCATCGAAAGTCGTACATGGATGAACATGAGTATTTGTTGGAATAATAAAGGGATCATGGCTCCCTTAGTCATGAATCTTCGATTATGTGCCCTAGTTCAAACAAGAAAAAAACACTGAAAGGATTCGTTAACGATTTGTCCGGTATATTTAACGGAAGGGCGAAGAAGAAGCAAGAGACTGACAAGGTCGATATACTGCGAGAGATGTGACTCACTATAAAGTCCGGCAGTTTACTAGTGAGAGGTGCTGCAGGCGCAGAGGGAACGGACATTACAGTGACGTTAGGTAT